CGGGGCTACCGTCCGGGTGTGGGCAGGGCGGCATTCCTCCTGGAGGCTCCAGGGGAGCATCCGTTCCTGGCCTTTTCCAGCTTCTAGAGGCCCCCCAAGTTCTGTAGCTCCTGGCCTGTCCTCCATCTCCAAAGGCAGCCGGGAGCCTTTCTCCGACGTCCTCACGTCTCTGCCCACAGCTGGGAAGATTCGGTGATTGTAAGGACTCATCTGAGGACACTGGTCCATTCGGATGGCGTAGGAAACTCCTATCTCGAGGCCATCACCTTAGTCATGTGCACAAAAGCCTCTGCCCCATGAGCCACAGTCGCAGGCTCAGGGGTGAGGACGAGGACATCTTGGAAGGGCTATCCTGCTGCCTCCCAAGCAGAATGGGCTGCCAGTGGGGAGAGAGGGTCCCAGTGCTGGAGGCTAGTTGGGGTGGGACAGGTGAGGGCCCCCATCTCCCTTCCTGCGGGGACCTGGAGATGGCACCGGGTGGTCCAGGAGGCGGGTGACCTGTGTTCCTGCAGACCCACCCCCACCCCCTAAACTGGGCCACATCAGGCCCCTGGAGGCCTGGACGGGTGGTGCCATTGTCACCCTTATTCATCACCAGCGTCAACGTGGAACACCCACTTTTGAGCCAAAGCTCTTGGCAGGTGTTGGCGGGAAGGAGACAGGTCCGTGCCCTGAGATAACTGGTCCTGGATCATCAGGCAAACTCCTCCCCATGTCTCAGTTCTCCCAGGTCTGAGAGGAGATCACTGACCTACAGGGACCTCCCACTCGGCCTGTGATTGGGAGCTAGGGGGGCAGGAAAGGCCTGGCCCCTCCCGGGGCCCCCTAATCAGCTCAGCGATCAGGTCCTGCCAGGACAGGCGATGGTTAGGAAGGGCAGCTGGTGATGTGTTTGTCTGATCTGTAGTGGAGACCACGGGACCCGGGGGCGGCTGAGGCCACACTCCGCACAGGGCTTGCGCTGTCTCTGCCAGGCTCAGTTGGGTCTGGAACTCTCTATCTGTATTTCTTTTTTAGAAATATACCTTTACATTTTAGAACAGGTTTAGATTTATACCCTGCACCCAATTTCCCCTATATTAACATCTTATAATGGTATGATTTATGTGTTATAACTAATGACCCAATAGGATACACTATACTAACTGTAATCCCTGGCTTATTCGGATGCCCTTCCTTTCCCCCCAATGGCCTCTTTCTGTCCCAGGATTCCATCCCACGTGACATCCAATTGCCTCATCTCCTTAGGGTCCTCTGGGCTGTGACAGCTTCTCAGACACCTGGCTCATCTTGAACATTGGCTGCCTCAGCCCTAGATCAGCCATTTCTCCCAGGACCCTGGCTCCTTGTTTGGGAGATGCTGTTAGACTGGGCCCTAGGGTGCTGGTTGCTCTGGGGGTCCTTGCATCTAGGCCCTCAGCTGAGAGAACAAGGAAATGTGTGTGCACTGACTGGTGTATAGACACATATGCATAACTATCTTCTTATGGATCTTTATCAAGCTAATCAAGACCTCAAACTTGTGTCTCCAGTTCTAACCCATCACCACAGGGATCGCACACCTCCTCCATGCTTGTCCCAGCATCCCACCCCAATAGGGAGGACCAACCCCCAACACCCTCCATCCATTCGCTGCACTGCTCACTGCCAGCGTAGCAGTACCGGGTTGTCACCCTGCCCCTGTGGGAATTAACTTTGTCAACCAGAGCACCGTGCTGCGTGCAGTCCCTGCGCTTTGAGTCTTACAGTCGCCACTCGTTCCCAAAGTGGCTCAGGTCGGCCACACGCCCCCCCGGTGAGCTTGTTTCATGCATTGGCAATGCAGGTGGATGTTCTGTCACCTTCTGCATGTGTGTTCCTTGTTATCGCCAGGTGGCATCCCGCTGCAGGAACTACCGCAGTGTGTTTCTCCTTTCAGCTGTTGCTGAACGTCTGCTTGCTTCCTGTCTGGGCTGTTACCGATAAAGATGTGGGCACATCCCTGTTGAAGTGTGTTTGTGGGGGTCTCTCTCCGTCTCTCCTTGAGTAAGTCCTTGCACAGGGTTATCCCTGGCCCCTCTACTTTCCACCTCCCGTCACCTCTCCGGGTGGCCAAGCTCCTCTCAGCGGTAAATGGTACTCAGATCCAAGATGCTGCTGATTGCTCTGGCGCCGAGCCAGAGAATGTGTGTATGTGCACACGTGTACTCACCCACGTGCATGCTCATGCACACACTCACACACGTGCACATGCATTTGGCAGACACGAGCGCACATACATGCGCACACACGTACATGCCCCCACACCTTTATAGTTCTATATCTATATTGAAATGCGAGCCTTCCCCAACCCCAAACCAGTTTATTCCAGTTGTTTCCTCTTCACATTGGCCTGCCTTCTCTGGCATGTGAGACCTGGTTTCTGCCCTTAAGGCATTGTCTTTTTTGGTCAATTCCCCCCCAGTGGACTCTGACCCCACTTGGGCCAGCCCAGTCCCCAGCACCAACCCAACCAGACGCCTACCTGCCCTGCCCTCCGCCAGGCTTCGGGCTGCTCCATTCAGAAGGAAAGGGAGGGAGAGGGAGAAGAGTGGAGAGAGCCCAAAACATGCCAGCCATTGCGGGTGTGTGTGTGTGTGTGTGTGTGTGTGTGTAACGACAACCATCTAGACTGCAGTTTCCTGCTGAGTTAGCAGGATGAGCCTCCTGTCATCTGCTTCTGGGTCATTTGAACAGCTTCTTTGATAAGCTATCAGCACAAGCCTGTGCCCCCTTTTTAATGGGGTTGGGTATCTTCTTAGTGAGCTGTAAGAGTTCCTTTTCTTTTTCTTCTCTCCCTCCATTCCTCCCTTCCTTCCTTCATAAATTTGGATACAAGTTCTTTGCCAGATGCATGTATTACAAATCTTTTTCTCCCGGGGGTGGATTGTATTTTTATTATCTTAAGAGTGTTAAGTGTGTAAGTTTTAAATTTTGATGAAGTCACATTTATCAATTTTTTCTTTTTTGAGTCCCCTCTGCCTTCCTCCAGGTTGTGAGGATTTTCTGCTACGGCTTCTCCTAGATGTTTTATAATTTTAACTAGAGGCCCGGTATACGAAATTCGTGCAGGGGGGCCGTGTTCCTCAGCCGGCCTGCACCCTCTCCAATCTGGGATCCCTCAGGGGATGTCCGGGGATCGGGCCTAAACCGGCAGTCAGACATCCCTCTTTCAATCCAGGACCACTGGCTGCTAACCACTCACCTGCCTGCCTGCCTAATGCTCTCAACTGCCCTCCCCTGCCAGCCTGCTCGCCCCCAACGGCACTCCCCTGCTGGCCTGGTCGCCCCCCACCCCCCAACCCGAATCAGGCTGGACTAGGCATCTCAGCCACCAGAGTCCAGGAGGCAGGAACCACTGGCGGTGGAGTGGTGGTGGCTTGTCCTCTATTTGGCTGCATGCCCTACCCATGTGACCTGTGGGTACCCAGATGGGTGCCTGGTGGGGGGGGTATATGTCACATGGAAGCCTTTGTCTGAATCATCCACTTCCTCCACTCTGGATTGGAGGATCCAGCAACCCCTCCTCTGACCTCTGAACTCTGACCTCCCCACCCCCTGATCTGGAAGGATAAATGGGAAAGAAAGAGTGGGCTGGGCAATAGTAGCAGGGACCGATCAAGGTAAGCACCCCCTCCAGACCCCATCATCTGGGGTTCGTGCACTGAGTAGCTGAGCCTCACATCTGGAGCAGCAGGACCTCAGACTCCGGGTCTCAACTGACCCCTCATCCCGGGTCCTCGACTCCATCTGCACCCACACCCTGCAGACGCCCGCCTGGCTTAGCCCCCCTGGGTCAGGCAGCCCCTCCTGGCTCCTTCCAGATGCTGAGTCTGCTGGTGCTGGCACTGCCCCTCCTGCTGAGCCTGGGCCACGCGGCCCCTGGTGAGTCCTGACCCTGCTCAGCCCTGTCCCTGTCCCTGTCCCTGCCCCTGTCCCTGCCCCTCACCCCACAGGCTCCACCACGGGTGGTGGGCTCACAGAAGCCCAGGTTTGTGTGGGCACAGGGGCCGGGCTGTGTCCTGTTCTGCCCTGAGGGTGTTTCCTGCCCCAGCCCCAAGCCAGGACCTGGAGAGAGTGGGTATCGTCGGGGGGCAGGAGGCCCCTGAAGGCAAGTGGCCCTGGCAGGTGAGCCTGAGACTCAAACTCCATTACTGGATACACTTCTGCGGGGGCTCCCTCATCCACCCCCAGTGGGTGCTGACCGCTGCGCACTGCCTGGGACCGTGAGTGTCCATGGGGCCTGATGGGGGTGGGGGGTGGGCCTGGGCTTCATCCACACTCCCTCCTGGGTGAACAGGAGGCTGCTCAGTCCCCTGAGTAGGTGCCCCTCCCTCCAGGGACATCAAAGATCCCTCAGTGCTGAGGGTGCAGCTGCGGGAGCAGCACCTCTATTACCAGGACAAGCTGCTGCCCGTCAACCGGGTCATCGTGCACCCCAACTACTTCTCATTTGCGAACGGGGCAGACATCGCGCTGCTGGAGCTCGACGACCCCGTGAGCACTAAGCACATCGCCCAGCTGGTCGCTCTGCCCCCTGCCTCGGAGACCTTCCCCCCGGGGACCCCGTGCTGGGTGACAGGCTGGGGTGATGTGCGCGATGGAGGTGAGTGTCAGGCACAGTTGGGGGGCTTGGGGAGTGGGGACCAGTCACACCACCCACCCAACTCTGGGGTTCCATTGGGGGAGGGATCCCGACAGCAGGCTCGGGGCCGTGATGGCCTCGCCACTGGTGCCGATTGCTCTCCTCTCACCGCACAGTACCCCTCCCACCGCCGTACCCCCTGAAGCAGGTGAAGGTCCCCATCGTGGAAAACAGTGTTTGTGACGCGGAATACCACACCGGCCTCTACACGGGGGACAACGTGCAGATCGTCCGTAACGACATGATCTGTGCCAGGGCCAAGAAGAAGGACGCCTGCCAGGTGGGCCCGTGTCCTCAGGCTCGGGGCCGTGATGGCCTCGCCACTGGTGCCGATTGCTCTCCTCTCACCGCACAGTACCCCTCCCACCGCCGTACCCCCTGAAGCAGGTGAAGGTCCCCATCGTGGAAAACAGTGTTTGTGACGCGGAATACCACACCGGCCTCTACACGGGGGACAACGTGCAGATCGTCCGTAACGACATGATCTGTGCCAGGGCCAAGAAGAAGGACGCCTGCCAGGTGGGCCCGTGTCCTCCCCGGATTCCCCACCCCATCCGCCTCTCCAGCCACTTGCTGACCCCTCTCCTCCCACAGGGCGACTCTGGAGGGCCCCTGGTCTGCAAGGTCAACGGCACCTGGATGCAGGCGGGTGTGGTCAGCTGGGGTGAGGGCTGCGGCCAACCCAACAAGCCCGGCATCTACACCCGCGTCACCTACTACCTGGACTGGATCCACCAGTACGTCCCCGAGGAGCCCTGAGCCTGTCCCTCGGGCTGCCACCCAGCCCCCTCCTGTCCCTGACCACTGCTTCCTGCCCAGCTGTCTGCCCTTTCCACCTCTCCTGCCCCCTGCCCTCTGCCCTGAGCTCCCCCAGCCCAGGGAGTGGGTGGTGGGCACTGCCCCTCATTAAAGTGTGTGAAGAGCACATGTGGTTGTGGCCGTGTGTCCAGCTGTGGGCGGCACTGAGGGGGAGGGAGGGCTCCAGGGGCAGCCACACAGCCACTGTGTGTCACTGTGGGGACCCCTGGCCCTGAGCACTGGGCATTGCTGTGGGGACACCCCCTCCCTAGCCCCTGGTGCCTGGAGTTGTGTCTCCTTGGGGAGTGGTCATGTGTATTCAGGTCACATAAAGCAACACAGAACATTGAAAAGGTAATTCTTGCCCAGCCAGCGCGGCTCAGTGGTTGCGTGTAGACCGATGAACCAGGAGGTCACGGTTTGATTCCTGGTCAGGGCACATGCGCTGTGGACACCGTGGTGGGGAGCGCTAACCCCCTCATTTCCTTTCATCCTTAGTCATCTTATTGCAGCCAGATACTGTCCTTCCTCGGTGTGAAGGCAGAGATGGACCGGCCACCACCCCCTCCCTCCCTCTCCCCGCCCCACACTCTTGGGGCTGCTGCTGCGGTCCGTGGGCTGAGCTCCCTGGATCGCTCACCTTGCACAAGCGCATTTACACTTTTCTCGGTGCGGCTGTGCTGGGGACACTGAGGGACAGGGGCTCCTCCGGTGGAGGGTGCAAGGAAGGAAGGGTACATGGTGGGGCCTGGGGCTGAGACCCCACACTGGGGGAGCAGGGAGGAGGCCGGGCACCTGCTTCCCCTTATCTGGCCCTGGGATCTCGAGGAGCTCAGCCAGCGGCAGTGACAGATAAAGTGAGTGTTGGCTTATCAGGGAGGGTCAAGCGGGCCTTCCGTTGGGCCAGGGGGGCTGCGGGGGGGACAGTGCTTCCTGTGTGCCCACATGGGTCCTCCTGAGGGGGCCCGGTGCAGGGCCACGTTCACTGGATGCTGGTGACCCGCACCCCAGGTCCAGGCGAGGGTGGCACTCTGGGGTATGCCACCCCTCCTGGAAAATGGGCACAGAGAGGAGTCCTGTCAGTCATTGAGGGGACCACACCCATGGTGATTAGAATTTTTTGCTCAAGAGCAGGCCTGGAGTCCAGGAAACCATGCATGGGGTGCTGGTGGAATGAGCAGGGTCTCAATGCTGGAGGCAAATAACCTAAAATAGATGAATGCCCTGAAGGCTCATCCTGTGGGGACCAGGGAAGTCACTGGGGGTCCAGGAAGCACAGAGAACCTTGGGTCTTTTAGACCCGGCCCCCAACCCACACACTTGGTGACATCAGGCCCTCAGAGGCTGGGCATGCTGGCCAGAGGGCAGTTCCCCATTCCTCAAGGGCACCCTTCCAGGTCCGTTCCTGTGACGGGTTCAATGCAGTCGTCACTCAGAGATGGTGCCACTGCCGTCCCTGTCCAGCGTCAGGGCAATGTGGCACGGGCACCTTCGAGCCACAGCTCCAGGCCGGGCGCTGCAAGGAGACAAGTCTGTGCCCCGAGAAGCCACGTCCTCACTCTCACCCTCCATGTACCTTGGTTCCCCCCTCCCCCCCCCACACACACACCTAAAAGTGGATCAGTGACACAGAGGCACCTGCAACCCAGGCCTGTGACTTGGAGCTGGGCAGGGAGCTGGGAGTGGGAGACTGCAGTCCCTCCCAGAGGCCCCCATCAGCTCAGTCATCAGGCCCTGGCCAGACAAGATGGTTAGATAGGGATGCCCCCAGCTGGGCAGCTATGCTGTGTCCGTTAGATCTGTGGTGGAGATCGTGGGACTGCAAGACGGATGTGGGACAGGGACAGTGGGGAGGGTGGGTTGGCGAGACTCCAGTCCTGGGGTTTCAGACGTTTCTGGCCTTGAGCTGTGACTGTCCTGAGAGATCCCCAAGATCAGGCTTTGAGAACAAGGGACCATGGGGCTGCAGACAAGCCCTGGTCCGAGAGGCCAGCAGGACATGGGGCAAGGTCAAGGGTCAGGGCTAGGGGGGTCAAAGACTTCAGCGCAGGGAGATAGCGAGAGTGGGTGCCTTCTGCAGCCCTAAGCCGACTGCCCAGCTGGAAAGCTCTCCCCGTGGGGATCCCCCCACAGCACCCACCCCCGTCAGAAGCTCTGGCAACAACTTCTCCCTACATTGTCAGATGCAGCTTCTCCCGCGTGTGAATGCCGTGTGCTCGGCTGCTATGATCTCAGCTTTTCTTGACGAACTGCCCGAGTGGGGGAACCATGGGCCACCAGCCGCAGGTGCTCGGGAGAGGACCCTGCCACTCTGCTGGGGTGGCGGTCACCATCCAGCCGCCCACCCTCACGCGGGACTGAGATTCTGCTGGTCGCCCACTTGTTCCTTAAATAAGTTAATGTTTATTCTCTTTTGCTCTGCCCTCCCCATGCCCTCAACTTCAGAAGCTGAATTTTCTGCATCGGATTATTGCAACTTTAACCTGAATTTATAAGAGAAACAAAATGAAACAAAGGGGCCTCCGTGGGCACGGCTCTGCTCAGACCCCAGGGCGGCCGTTGGAGGTGCTGGCCTCAGGGGCGTGGCTCCCATTCCCTGGCGATCGGCGTTTCAGAGACCAGTCAACAGGTGTTTTCTGGACAGAATGGTGGGGAGGGGTCCAGGAGGGGCAGGTGGAGAGACAGCAATGGCAGAGGTCGGGACAAATGGACAGGAGCTCGTCCGAGAGGCCAGCAGGACATGGGGCAAGGTCAAGGGTCAGGGCTAGGGGGGTCAAAGACTTCAGCGCAGGGAGATAGCGAGAGTGGGTGCCTTCTGCAGCCCTAAGCCGACTGCCCAGCTGGAAAGCTCTCCCCGTGGGGATCCCCCCACAGCACCCACCCCCGTCAGAAGCTCTGGCAACAACTTCTCCCTACATTGTCAGATGCAGCTTCTCCCGCGTGTGAATGCCGTGTGCTCGGCTGCTATGATCTCAGCTTTTCTTGACGAACTGCCCGAGTGGGGGAACCATGGGCCACCAGCCGCAGGTGCTCGGGAGAGGACCCTGCCACTCTGCTGGGGTGGCGGTCACCATCCAGCTGCCCACCCTCGCGCGGGACTGAGATTCTGCTGGTCGCCCACTTGTTCCTTAAATAAGTTAATGTTTATTCTGTTTTGCTCTGCCCCCCATGCCCTCAACTTAAGCTGAATTTTCTGCATCGGATTATTGCAACTTTAACCTGAATTTATAAGAGAAACAAAATGAAACAAAGGGGCCTCCGTGGGCACGGCTCTGCTCAGACCCCAGGGCGGCCGTTGGAGGTGCTGGCCTCGGGGGCGTGGCTCCCATTCCCTGGCGATCGGCGTTTCAGAGCCCAGTCGACAGGTGTTTTCTGGACAGAACGGTGGGGAGGGGTCCAGGAGGGGCAGGGGGAGGGACAGCGATGGCAGAGGTCGGTACAAATGGACAGGCGCTCAGACTGTGAGTGATGGTGAGGCACGGCTGCGGGGGCCCTGGTGACTGAGCTGCCACCCGCGAGGGCACAATGGCCCCAAGCGTGAGTTCCCTAGAAAAGTAAGTGGATGTGAGGATGGGACTCTGCCGGGCAGCCTCTACCTTTTCCTTTTGGTTGCTTTCTGGTCCTTGTCCCTGGTCCTCTCTCGTGAAGGGACTGCTGACCAGGCTGCCAGCAGTCTGACCACAGCGGCCAAACGCGTAGAAACCAAACCTGAACCGACAGGCTCCCAGTCTGAGGAGCTAACCTTACTCCTTTCACCCAGAACAGCGTCTGCCTCCCTCTCCCTGGGCCGATGTCCTCCCGGCTGCTCTGCCCAGCGTAGGGCCCGAGCTGGGGTCCATGCATGGCCCTGCCTGGGGCCACCACCCCACTGGATACACCCCAAGCCCCGTGCCAAGCCTGTGTGGCCTCGTGTCCCCAGCTACACAGGCTCATCCGCACTGTCACCAGGTGTGGGACTGGCTGGGGGGGACCCTGCTTTCTTTGGAGGGCTCTCGGGGACGTTGAGGTACAGCCCCCATCCCTTCTCGTGGGGGTCGCTGGAGGGCATGGGAGACTCTGTTTCGTGGGGTTCGGCAGGTGCTGTGACCCCTGAGGAAGCTCTGGGTTCTGGGGCCACCCTGTGCCCACTATCCGAGAACAGGTCCCCGCTGGGGTCCCCCACGTCCAATGGCTCGAAGGCAAAGCTGGGGATGGTCAGGTGCTCTGCACGGCAGGGAACCTGGCCCCAGCGCTCCCCCTTGCTGGTAGGGTCCACCCCCAAGCCCTCCATGGGCTCGCAGGACGGGGTTCTCCGCCGCAGGGTGGTACTGCCACCCTCTGCTGCAGGGGGCCAGGCTGCACCCTCGTCCTCCACGGGGGGGTCTATGGAGATGCACGGGGGGCTCATCTTCTTCTTCCTGCGTGACCCCAGCGCCGGCTCAGCCTCCAGGGCTGGGGCCTTCACCTCTCCGGGCTCAGGGCGGCTGTCCCCTCCCCCCTGCTCCCCCGAGGGCC